ATGCCAGGCTCATAGCAAGCCCTTCGATACACAAAAGCTGGTAGGTAAAAACACAGGTCATACACCCACTAGAGGTCAATATACTAGCAGCTAACAAAGTAAATATTTGCTGTGTGCCAGAAACTGGGTGAAGCACTTTCTGGGTGTTATGTCATCTTCTCAGGGTTCGAAGAGGCAAATATTATTATCCCCATTTCATAGATTGGAGAAGGGAGGCAAAGAGAGGTGGAGCCAGTAGTCAAAAGTTCATAAAAGTTCAGGCCGGGCACGGTGACTCACATCTGTAATCCCAGCACTTTGGGAGGCCGAGGTGGGTCGATCACCTGAGGCCAGGCGTTCGAGACTAGTCTGGCCAACATAGTGAGACCCTGTCTCTACTAAAAATGCAAAAATTAGCCAGGTGTGGTGGTGTGTAGTCCCAGCTACTCGGGAGGCCAACGCAGGAGAATTCCTTGAACCCAGGAGCTAGAGGTTGCAGTGAGCTGAGATCATACCGCTGCACTCCACCTGGGCAACGGAGCAAGACCCCATCTTAAAAAAAAAAAAAAAAGTTCATAAAAGTTTATACAGTGCAGGACTTGAACTCCAGGAAAGTTAAACGACAGTACGAGAAGTAACTAAGAATCACCTCCAATGGAAGGTGGCCGCGGGACAGGGATGATTCATTGCAAAAATGGGTTCCTGAGCCCCTGAGGTCCAGCCTGGGCAGCCGCAGCGTGCGTGCGTGTGGCAGTCCTGGCCCAGGGGCTCTGTCCTTCTTGGATTCCTTCCAGCAGTATCTCTTTATCAAGTTGCTCTTTCTTGGGTGTGCCAAGACTAGGCTCCCTGAGAGACCGCGCTCAGCCTTCACATCTTTTCTAGTTGATATCCCTCTAGCAGTTAATGGCTTCACCTGCCCTTCCTGTATTCCATCACCCAAAGACAAATCCAGTGCCCCTAAAACCTCACCTGTGCTCTGCAATCTCTCTCACTAGGTGCACGCTGCATCTGAGCCCTCGAGACTGCCACAAAGCCTCTTACTAATTATCCACCCCGGTGCAAAAATTAGCACGTCTCAGGTTCACATGTATCCATTATAGCTTCACCGATAGGGATGCAGTATGCATACTTCACAGTTTTAGTCTGCGTGGGGAATCCTATTTCACCCATTGGCAACACTAGCACGGGGGTTATATTAGTCTTCTAGGGCTGTTGTAAATAATCACACAAACTTTGGGGGTTAAAACAACAGAAATTTATTTCCCCATGTTTCTGGAGGCTGGAAGTCTAAAATCAAGGTGCAGGCAGGGCCAGGCTCCCTCTGAAGGCTCTAGGGGAGGATCCCTCCTTGCCTTTCCCAGCTTCTAGTGGCTCCTAGAATTCCATTATTATTTATTTTATTTATTTTTTGAGACAGAGTCTCGCTCTGTCGCCAAGGCTGGAGTCCAGTGGCGCAATGTCAGCTCACTGCGACTTCTGCCTCCCAGATTCAATTGATTCTCCTGCCTCAGCCTCTCGAGTAGCTGCGACTACAGGCGTGTGCCACTACGCCCAGCTAATTTTAGTATTTTTAGGCGAGACAGAATTTCGCCATGTTGGCCAGGCTGGTCTCAAAATCCCAACCTCAAGTGACCTGCCCGTCTCAGCCTCCCAAAGTGCTGGAATTACAGGCATGAGCCACTGCACCCGGCCGGCTCCTAGAATTCTTTGGTTGGTGGCTGCATCCCTCCAATCTCTGCTCTGTTTTCAATGACCTGCCTCATGCATTTTTGTGTGTCCTTTTCTGTCCCTGGTAAGGACACTTGCCACTGGATTTAAGGACTGTCCTCATTCAGGATGATCTCATCTTGAACCTGGCCTAATTATGTCTGCAAAAACGCTATTTCCTAATAAGATGACATTCTGAGGTTCTGAGTGGATATGAATTTTAGGGGGCACTCTTCAACCCTCTTCACATAGAAGAGGTGCCTGGTATTCTTTGTAACTAGCTTATTGTATATTTCAGTACCCTGGGCACACACATAAAAGGGTTCTTCTCTCAAGACAATTGTCAACCACATTCTTGCCAATCTCCTTTTCCCAGTCCTTTGTGGCATCATGAACAGATCCTATAACTTTCTGGCCACTTCCCAATATTGAAAAGGCCAAGCCAGTTCACTTATTTATTTATTTATTTATTTAGAGACAGAGTCTGGCTCTGTCGCCCAGGCTGGAGTGCTGTGGTGTGATCTTGGCTCACTGCAACCTCTGTCTCCTGGGTTCTAGCGGTTCTCCTGTCTCAGCCTCCTGAGTAGCTGGGACTACAGGCGAGCACCACCATGCCTGGCTAATTTTTTGTATTTTTAGTAAAGCCAGGGTTTTGCCATGTTGGCCAGGCTGGTCTTGAACTCCTGGCCTCAAGTGATCTGCCCACCTCAGCCTCCCAAAGTGTTGGGATTACAGGCGTGAGCCACTGTGTCTGGCTGCCAGTTCACTTTAAAAGAGCCACCTAGTCCCCATCTCCTAACTCAGGTTTGATGCACAGCCTGAGGAAACTGGAGAGGACCTGGCCACCTTTTGCTTCCTTCTCCCCGTGTTTCTGGCTCCCAAAGTACACCAAGGAGGAGGATTTCATGGGCAAACAAATTTGGCCAATGCTGCATTAAACCAAGTTACCCAGATGTCTCCACTTTAGGGTCAGTTGATGTGTGAATGTCTATCCAAGAACAGGTGGTTTCCAAACTTCTTCAGCCCAGGACACTATTTTTCCACAGAACATCCTACCTCCCTAGTGTTCCCCAGAGCACACTTTGTGAAACACCACACAATAAAAAGTACTGCCAAATATAAAGTATATCCACAACTATTACGTTTGCATAGCAATATAAGATGAGTTTTTGAGTAAACACAGCAACTGTGGAACAGTTTTGTGATTTATTCAGAAAACTGGCTCCGAGATCGCTGTGGACAGGACCCAACTTGGCTGGGAGATTTCAATCCCTCGGTAGAGCCACGTGGACAGTGAGGCTGGCCGAAGTTTATTCTGAGAAAGGATTAGAGACTGAAATTGCTCTGATTTTCCTAAACCCAGCTTCCGTAGTCAGGAGGAAGTAACTATCATATTTAAAAGCAAGTGCTTTCAGGAAAGATTTGCTTGATAGTGTGGTCCTATAAGTTATGCAATTCTGTTATGCAAATTCAATGACAAGGACTCAGCAGAATGATAATAATAGCAATAATAATATAATAGTAAGAGAAAAGATAGAATTAACAAATGCAAGTGACAAGCAAAGCCTCGCCTTCTTCTGCTGGTGTAGATCTGGGATCCATCCAGTAATCTCTGCTCCCAAGGGCCTCTCAGCCTCGAGCATGAGGCTGGTATTTAAATATCTGTTGTTTTCATATCCTACAACCTCTAAAAGCCGGCTGACTTCAGCTGGTCCTCAGCTGGACGATCGGCAACCTTTTCCAGTGCTGGAGAAAACCAGGCTGCCCCGGACTGAAATTGACCAGCTCCCAACTTAGTGTCTTTCTAAGGATTTCCAAGGATAATTTCTGACCATCGTCTGTGTTCTCTCTAGAAGCTTTTTTTTTGAGACAGAAATCACACCACTGGAGTGCAGTGACTTGATCGCTGCTCACTGCAATCTCCGCCTCCCACTGGAGTGCAGTGACTCGATCTCCACTTACTGCAGTCTCCGCCTCTCACTGGAGTGCAGTGACTCAGTCTCTGCTCACTGTAATCTCCACCTCCCACTGGAGTGCACTGACTCTATCTCTGCTCACTGCTGTCTCCGCCTCCCAGGTTCAAGCCATCCTCTTGCCTCAGCCTCCTGAGTAGCTGAGACTACAGGCATGTGCCACCATGCCCAACTAATTTTTGTATTTTTGCTAGAGACAGGGTTTTGCCACATTGCCCAGGCTGCTCTCCAACTCCTGGCCTCAAGTGATCAGCCCCCCTAGACCTCCCAAAGTGCTAGGATTACAGGCAAGAGCCACTGCACTGGCCACCCCAGGAGTTTGTCGAATCACATGACTATGCCATTGAGGCTCCCCTGTAGTCTCAAAACTGAATTGAATCTAGTTTTGTCCATATGGTCAAGGCAAGTATTTTCTGAAAGCCAGGATTAACCCTACAATTGGATATTGTAGGGGCCATCGAGGTGATAAGATGGGAGGAAAATCAACCAAGCTCACTCTATGCGCCATTCCCAGACTCCCCCATACATACACAAGATAGCCTAGAGAAAAACAAAGTTGATCTGACTGTGTTATGGGAACAGGGTGACTCATTATTACTCAACAGTCTAGCAAGGATACATTTATCCACGTAGCTAACAGGCTACCAAAGACCAGAGGGGATTTGGAAAGCAGTCAGGGGGATAAAAGCCTGTACTCCATCTCTCCAACTTTGTCCTCCTCCATAACAGTTCCTACTGCCCACGGAAGATGCCCAAACTCCAGGCCCTTTGTATGTGACTCCAGCTCTCATGAGCTGAGACCACCCCCCACCCTAAGGCAGGGTCTGGTTCTCATTTATCTACCATTGTGCCCAGCCCTGAGCACAGATTTTGGCAGATAAGCCAGAGCTCGATGGATGAATGTCAAATGAGTGGAAAAGGAACCCGCATGAAACTCAGGTAGCTCATGCTCCAGTCTCAGCACTGCATTATGTCAAAAATAAAATAAAATAAAATAATTTTTGGCCAGGTGGGATGGCTCATGCCTGCAATCCCAGCACTTTGGGAGGCCAAGGTGGGCAGATCATTTGAGGTCAGGGGTTCAAGCACCAGCCTGATCAACAAGGTGAAACCTCATCTCTACTAAAAATATAAAACTTAGCCAGGCGTGGTGGTGTGCGCCTGTAATCCCAGCTACTAGGGAGGCTGAGGCAGGAGAATTGCTTGAACCTGGGAGGCAGAGGTTGCAGTGAGCCAAGATTCTAGCCTGAGAGCAAGACTCCATCTCAAAAAAAAAAAAATATATATATATATCTGGAGAGCAATTGAAATCTTTACATTTCTCTGGGAACACCAAAAAAAAAAAAAAATCCAATTTATATAAAGTAAAGCAAAACTTTTGAATGTTTAGATCTCACCTCCATGGCAGTTGGCTCCAAAATCTCTATTAAATTCCTTCAAACTCTCCTTCAGATCTCACTTCTCTCATCCCCTTCCTTTTTCCCCTTCCAAATATAACTTCCACTCTTTCCTGGGAGTGCAGGGAGGCTGGTTAAGCACATGGGCTACGGGGCACATCTTGCTGAGTTTAAATTTAGTCCTGTCACTGTCTAACTTGGGCAGGTACTTGGCACATGGTAAGCACTCAATAAATGTAATCCATTGATGTTACTGTTATTAGTATTCTTCAAATTCTGTTGGTTTCTCCAATATGTTTTTTTCCTTGAGCCCACTTTTCCATCCTTGCAACAAGGAAAGTGTATTCATTTCCCAGGGGTAAGAAATTATCACAACCTTGGGGGCTTAAAACCACAGAAATCGATTTCCCCACAGTTCTGGAGACCAGAAGTCCAGAATGAAGCTAGCGGCGGGGCCACACCCCCTCCAGAGGCTCTCCTGGAGATTCAGTTCCTTGCATCCTCCAACTTCTCGTGGCTTTTAGCATTCCTTGGGTCGTGGCTGCATCGCTCCAATCCCAGCCTCTGTCTCCACGTGGCCTTCCCCTGGCCTCTCTTGTCTGTGTCTCTTCCAAAGACACTTGTTGCTGGAGGTAAGGCCCACACAGATAATCCAGGATGATCTCATTTTGAGAACCTTAACTTAATTACATCTGCAAAGACCCTTTTTCCAAATAAGTTCTTTTTCACAGATTCTGGAGAAGGGTGGGTAGACATGGATATATTTGTGGGAGTGCATTTATCCCACTACAAAATGACACTGGGTCCTTCTCCTTGTGGATGGTGGGTGGGGAGAGGGTTGCACACTCCTGTAATTCTTTTTTTTTTTTTTTTTTCTTTTCTCCTTATCATGCTGAATATATCAAGTCAGCAGCCAGCATCAGGTACCTGGGAATGAGGAAGGAAAGACAGGCAGATGGCAGAGGGGCCTGTCAACTTCTCCTTTTCACTGACACTCACACCACTCTTTCATTTGCAACCACAGAATACCTAACTGCAAGAACTGCCTCATCCCAGGTGGTCTGACCGTGTCTCTGAGCTAAGCGGCGGATTTCAGCCACAGGGTCTGACTCTCAGGCAGACACATCCTGTCCAAGGACTGGAGACAGAGCATCCGTTCTCCCCCCCGGAGCGGTCAGCTGCATGTGGCTGCTTGGGGGGCGGTTCAGGTTAGTTAGTTATTGATATCCTGTGTTAAGATTCCTGCCTTGGCGGCACTGAAGGGATCCGGGAGGCAGTGACTTCACTCGACTCAAATTGCAATCAGCCAGCCTCTTGGCTCAGGCATTCATCTACCCAGAACTATTTTTGGTGTGTGTTCATAGACAGCACACACCAAAGTATTTGGTATTTGAGATGCAAGCGCTAAGGATGATTAAAGTTAGTTGCTAATGAGCATGCCTAGAATAGATATACTCTGTGTGTATGCGTGTGTGTGTGCGCGCTCCATGTGTGTGCTCTGTTGCATGTCTACAAAGCAGATGTCTACACACCTGCCCTTAGGTGACCTCACCAATGTCCATGAATTGGTGCTGCTAGATCAGCTAAGAGTTCCCTGGACGGAAGACAGAAATGGGTAACAATTGACCTGTCTCAAAATACTGCCTTACTGGGCACCCATGCTCGCCCGTCGGAATCCAATCTACCTTTCAATGTCTAGCTCAGCCCATCTTACCATGAAGCCTCACTTGACCACCCTCTGAACTCCTAGACCAAGGCTAGAAAATAGGTTTTATCTCAAGTTCCTTGGTTTGTGTCTGCATCACTCCAGCCTCTGGTTCCGTCTTTACACAGCTGTCTTCCCTCTGTGTCTGTGTCCTCATGTAGCCTTACCCTCTGTGTGTGTGTCTGTATTCAAATCTGTGTGTGTGTGTGTGTGTCTGTATTCAAATCTCCCTCTCCAGCTGGGCGTGGTGACTCATGCCTGTAATCCCAGCATTTTGGGAGGGCGAGGCAGGTGGATCACTTGAGATCAGGAGTTCGAGACCAGCCTGGCCAACATGGTGAAACCCTGTCTGTACTAAAAATACAAAAAATTAGCCGGGTGGGGTGGCGAGCGCCTGTAATCCCAGCTACTTGGGAGGCTGAGGCAGGAGAATCGCTTGAACCCATGGGGCAGAGGTTGCAGTGAGCCAGGATTGCACCACTGCACTCCAACCTAGGCCACAAAACTCTGTCTCAGTAATATAATAATAATAATAAAATTTAAAACATCTCCCTCTCCTTATAAGGACACCAGCCATTGGATTAAGGTCCATCCTCATGACCTCGTCTTCACTTGATTACATTGGAGAAACCACATTCATTGGTATCGGGTTAGGATTTTAACTTATCTTTCAGTGGGGTGGGGGTAGTGGGGAAGACAAAATTCGACCCATAATGGATGCCATAGATAATTAGGGATATCCAGCATTGGTGGAGGGAAGGGAAAGGGCCACCTATTTGCTAAATCTGCCCTATCGTGTTTAATTTTGGTATCATTTAGTTGGAAATGAGCACCACCTGCTATGACAATTGGTTCTCTGTCTCTCTCTCTAATCATCTAATCTACCTACCTACTTACCTGCCTGCCTACCTATCTATCCTCTATGTATAATCTATCATCCATAGCTATTTATTTACCTTCCTAAGTAAATTGAAAGTTCCATGAGTGCAGGGATTATCATTTACACCCCTTGTAAATTTCTCCACTGGCTAACCCAGGATCTAGACGGATGTAGTAGGTACTCAATAAATACTTGTTCAGTCACTAATTTTCATTGTTTGGACTCCGAAATTAGATCAGGAAGAGGTCTCTGACACACAATCCTCTAGGGACTTCTGAGGATAAAGTTGGCTCATTCACAGCTTGCCCACCTGCACTCTGTCTTCCCAGCTCCCCTCAACATTCAACAGATCTCGTCTACCAAATCTTATGTGTGTACTGGGGTGTCTCCCGCTAATAGGACAGCCCTGTAATTGTTCAGTGAGATTATAACATCAGCCTCATCCATCAAGCTCTCCGCTAAGTAGTTTGTGGAGAGCTTGGACACTAATGGAAAGCAGTGTCCTAAACAAGAAGGGAAGCGTTCTAATGTGGGGTTTTATGTAGGCTGGTTTCTAGCTGTGAGCTATGGACCTGAAATGATAGTTAAATCGATGGAGAGGCACTAAGCTACAGCCTGTGAATCTGGGCATCCGTAAAACCCAATTATTAACAGCCCTGAGTGGATGCGTTGCACACCAGCTCTCCCAGCTTTGATTGGGACTCTCTCTCCAGACAGAAACGGCCCAAGAGAAATGGAAATATGATGGTTAGTTGATTATTTCACAGTCTGCATGACAGACCACCCTCCTAACAAGACTCTAGGTCAAGTGCTCTTCTCTGCCCTGTGGATCTATTGGGGAGAAATTAGCTCTCGGTGGTATTTCCAATTATGGATAAAAGCGATTCCTCACTGGTCTGGCTATCATGTGTTTTGCAGTGGACCAAGAGACATGAAGCCCGTCTTCTGCCCTCGCCTCTTTCTCTATCTTGCTGCATGACCTTGGAAGGTGGCCTGATCTCTTGTCTTCTTTGCTGCCTCATCTGTCATGATCCACCTTTACTACTTCATAGCCATGTTCTAGGATAAATGAGAGAAGCCTCTACATCTTTTAGTCTCCCAGAAAGACTGGAACCAGGTAAATGCAAAGTGGAGCCATTTCCTTTGTTTTTGCTGCCTGAGTTACTAACGTGAATAATGGCAAAAATGGATGGGTTTGTGCAATTACTTTTGTTTTTGTTTTTGTTTTGTTTTGTTTTCCCTCTGGGGGGAGGTTCGAGGCATTCTAGGCATTCTATACATTATTCTATTGTATAATTGTTCATCTCTTCTATGGAGTGGGTGTTGGTATGCCCCTTTCTTAGCAAACTGATGGAGGCTGGCCTCAAAGTGAGCCACAGTGATGGGCTAGAAATAATTCTTACTCATAACTCCTAACTAAGTTTAATGTCTGTCTTCCCTACCGTAGTGATGAGTTTCATGAAGGCAAAGACCTGTTTACCTTGTTCTGCTCCAGCACCGAGCAGGTACTCAGTAAGAACTTGTAGAATTAGTGGATGGATGGATAGATGAACAGATGAATGGATGGACTGACAGATTATTAGATGGATGGATAGATAGAGGCATAGATGGATGGATGATGGATGGATAAGTGGGTGGATGATAGACAGATGGATATGATAGAGGGATGGCTGATTGGATGAATGGATGGATAGATGGATGGATGAACAGATGGATGGGTGGCTAGATGGACAGATGAATGGATGGAGGGATGCACAGAAGGATGAATGACAGATGGATGGATGATAATGGAAGGATGGCTGGATGGATGAACAGAAGGATGAATGGATAGATGAATGGGTGAATATAGTTTGTATGTGAACATGAATCACATTACCATTATTTGTCACTGAGAGAAAGTTCTAAGTTTCAGATGTTCAGAGAAATTGAGAGATGCAGACCTAACATACAGACCAGAAGGGCCATGCTCTCTCTAAGTCCCTAGGTAGAATCCTTCCTTGCCTCTTCCTAGCTTCCAATGTTGGCCATAAATTCTTGGTGTTCCTTGGCTTGTAGCTGAATCCCTCCACTCTCTGTCTTCATCACGACATGGCCTTTCTCCCTGTGTGCCTCTGTCTGCACATGGTCTTCCCTCTTCTTAGAAAGACACCAGTCATATTGGATCAAGGGCCCACCCTACTCCAGTATGACCTCCTCTTAACTAATTATATCTGCAATGACCTTGTTTCCCAACAAAGTCACATTCTGAGGTGTTGGGAATTCAGACATCAACATACCTTTGGCAGGGGACTTGTGTCAACCTGTTATTCAACCCACAACAATGTGTGACCCAGCAGCTCCTCTCCCGGGTGTGTATCCTGGGGAAACTCCTGAACAGGATCATAAGAGGACGTGTGTGAGAATGTTGGTGGTGACCACGTTTGTCCCAGCAAGGAGCCCAAGGTGACCTACATGTCTATGACTGGAGGAAATGAGTCAGCCAGATTTGATACATGCAGATGATGAAATAATACACAATACCCTGAATTTGCATACATCATCATGGATAGATCTTAAAAATACAGTGTGAAATGAAAAAAGTAGGAACTAGACTGAGATTGATGACACAATACCATGGACATAAATTTAAAATATACACTCACAGAGCAAGACTATATATGTTTCATAAGCATTGGAAAGTGGGTTGGAAGGATTTATTTTGAAGATACTGGAGTCACTGCTTGTGGGAGGCAGTGAGAAATGCTAACAGCAGACGCAGGCGAAAAATAATACAAGAAGGCACACGGGGGGCCTTGAACAGACAAATAGTGAATGTGTGGCATAAACTGAGAAGTGTGATTCTACGAAGGCGCCCACCCGGGGTCCAAATTTTGCAAAGAGGGGAGGAATCAGGAAACGGATTAATGAGTGACGGTGGCACCCAGGGCTGGGTGGAGTCCACGTCCTATGAGCATGCGCAGCAGGGCCCCTTGATCCACGCTGAGCTTCAAGGAAGAGTGCGGAGAAAACCGCCCTAAGCCCAGACCTGGAGGGGAATTGGAGCTGTGCAGGTCAAGAATTAAGCAGACAGGGCCGAGCAGAAGGAGCTCCAGGAGAGCCCAGGAGAACCCAGGCTGGACCAAGTGCATCCGCCTGGGGAGAAGGAGAAGGGATGGTCCGCATGGCCCCGCCAGGGAAGGAGTGGGGCCAGGGCTGGCTGTGTGTGTGTTACCCACTCAGACGCCCACAGGGACCAGGTGGCGGAAATGAGCGAATGACCCAGGCGCATACTAAACACTTCCACAAATAATGATGGACCTTTCTATATTTAAGAAACCCAGAGTCCCCCAAGTCTGTATTTCTTTTCCTCCCTTTTGATGGAGACACTGGGGCTGGCTTCTTCTTTAAGAAAAACAATAGCGGCATATGATGAGAAGTGGTAGCCAACTCAGCCATGAGGCAGACATTAGAGGGGTGGGGCTTGGGGAGGACAGGAAGGGGATGTCCCAGCTCAACGGGAGGGCTGCTACCAGGTAGCTTCAGAGGATACCTTCGCCCAAATGTGGTCCCAACGTTGACAGATTCTGCTTTTTCCAAGAGAAACTGTGAAACTGGGTTTTTATGTGAAATCTTTTTATTTGACATAGTAAAATCTAACTGAACCACAATGAGGTACCACATCACACCGACTAGGATGGCTATAATAAAATAGAATGGAAAATACGAAATTTTGACGAGGAAGTGGAGCAGTTGGAACCTTTGTACGTTGCTGGCGGGAAAGTAAGGTGACCCACTCACTGTGGAAAAGTTTGGAGGTTCCTCAAGAAGTTAGACATAGCGTTATCATATAACCCAGCAATTCCACTCCTAGGTATATGCCCAAAAGAATTGAAAGCAGGTACTCTACATGAAGACAAGTACATCTACATGCATGTTCCTAGCAGCACTGTTCATGATCACCAGGAGGTGGAAACAACCCAAATGTCTGTCATCATGTAAGATACAATGTAACTGAATCTTGAAAACGTTATGCCCAATGAATGAAGCCAGACACAAAAGTCATACATTGTATGATTCCATTTATATGAAATGTCCAGAATAGGCAAAATCCATAGAGACGGGACAGCTGATGAGAGGGTTGCCAGGGGTTGGAGGGAGGAGGGTATGGGAGTGAATGAGTGCTGGGTACCAGGTTTCCTTTTGGAGTAATGAAAGAGTTTTGGAAACTAGATAAGAGGCGATGGTTACATAAGATCATGAATATATAAATGCCACTGAACTGTTCACTTTAAAATGCTTAATTTTTGCCAGGCACAGTGGGCTCACACTTTTATCCCAGAACTTTGGGAGGCTGAGGCAGGAGGATCACTTGAGGTCAGGAGTTTGAGACCAGCCTGGCCACATGGTGAAACCCATCTCTACTAAAAATACAAAAGTTAGCCAGGCATGGTGGTACATGCCTGGCTACTCAGGAGGCCGAAGCAGGAAAATCTCTTGAACCCAGGAGGCAGAGGTTGCAGTGAACCGAGATCGTGTCACTACACTCCAGACAGAGTGAGACTTAGTTCTCAAAAAAAAGAAAAAGAGAAAGAAAAACAAAACAAAACAAACAAACAATGCTTAATTTTTGCCAGGTGCAGTAGCTTATGCCTGTAATCCCAGAACTTTGGGAGACTGAGTTCAGGAGGATCACTTGAGGCCAGTTCAAGATCAGCCTGGGAAGCAGCAAGAGCCTGTCTCTACTGGGACAAAAAAAAAGGTAATAAATAAAATGCTTAATTTTATATTATGTCGATTTCACCTAAATTTTTAAAAACTGGAAAATGTAATTCAAATATTTAAGGAAAAACATGTGAGCACAAATGGATTCAGGCCGCAGGCTGCATCTGAACCCCTGGGTGCCAGTTCTAAGTTTGATATGGGCTTACCGTCAGCAGGAGCCCCGTAATCTTGTACAGAGCTGCAGGATTAGGAACTCTGTTTTACTGGCAGGGAAACTGAGACTCCAAAGAGGTAAAGTGATGGGATCAGAGTCAAGCACAGGAGCTGGAGCTGAGCCCCAGAGGGTGGTTTCCCAGCACAATTGATCTTGTCTCCCTGCAGTTGGGGCCAAGGGCTGTGGAAAGCATTAAAGGTGGCAGCTATTAACGAGGTGGCAGAAGAGGATGCTGGAAGTTCAGACAGAACTGTGGTCGAAGCGGCGGGGTGGTTATGCCTGTAATCCCAGCACTTTGGAGGCTGAGGTGAGTGGATCCCTTGAGGTCAGGAGTTCAAGACCATCCTTGCAAACGTGGTGAAACTCCATTCTACCAAAAATATTTTTTAAAAAAAATTAGCCGGGCCGGGCGCGTGGCTCAAGCCTGTAATCCCAGCACTTTGGAGGCCGAGACGGCGGTCACGAGGGTCAGGAGATCGAGACCATCCTGGCTGACACGGTGAAACCCCGTCTCTACTAAAAAAATACAAAAAACTAGCCGGGCGAGTCGGGCGCCTGTAGTCCCAGCTACTCGGGAGGCTGAGGCAGGAGAATGGCGTGAACCCGGAGGCGGAGCTTGCAGTGAGCTGAGATCCGCCACTGCACTCCAGCCTGGTGACAGAGCGAGACTCCGTCTCAAAAAAAAAAAAAAAAAAAATTAGCCGGGTGTGGTGACTCATGCCTGTAGTCCCAGCTACTTGGGAGGCTGAGCAGGAGAATCACTTGAGACCCAGGAGGCGGAGGTTTCAGTGAGCTGAGATCGTGTCACTGCACTTCAGCCTGGGTGGCAGAGTTGAGACTCTATCTCTATTAAAAAAAAGAACTGTGCATCCAGATCTCCTTGGAGTTGTTGCCTCCTCTCACACAAGGCCCAGAAAACTCTCTCTCAATTGAAGCCCATTCAGCAAGGCTGGATTGAGTATGTACTGTGCATGTGGCAGGCACCACGTGAAATTAATAAAAGTAATAAGTGCAAAGGCTTAAGGGTTCACCCTGTGCAATGCACATTCTGTTGAGACCTCCTCTGATGCTCAGGGTAATGCTGTGAAGTGGAAACAGCGTTGCCACATGGATTGCATGCATGCATTTAACTTTTATACTATGCATGCATTTAACTTACATAATGCATGCATTTAACTTACACAATTTCAGCTAACTGCAGTTGGCCAAAAGGAAAGGAGAAAAATCCTCATTGAAAGGGGGTAGACCTGTTGTGTCCCCGTGCGAACTTGCCACACAGGAAGCATGGAAATGGAATATATGGATCTGTTCTCATTGTCTCCAATCCTGACAGCCTTTCCTAGAATGAGCAGCTCTCTGTGCTGAGCGGGATACTAGCTGAGGATTTCTCAGCCTTGGCACTACTGACATTCTGGGTTGGATAATTATTAGTTGTGGGGACTGTCTAGTGTGTTGGAGGATGTTTAGAGGCATCCCTGGCCTCTATCCACTAGATGCCAGGCACATTTATTCCTACCCCTAGTTATGACAACCAAAAATGTCTCCAGGAACTGCCAAACATCCCCTGAGGGGCAAAATCGCCCTGGCTGAGAATCAGTCATCTAGAGTTTCAAATGTGTATTTACTGGTGCTCAACTAAGGAGCAGGATTGGAGGTGGGGGGTGGGGAGGATGGGAGGTGGGTAAATGGCTGCATTATGGTGATTGTATTATTGTTACAGGAAAGGGGTCCCAATCCAGACCCCAAGAGAGGATTCTTGGATCTTGCACAAGAAATAATTCAGGGCAAGTCCATAGAGTAAAATGAAAGCAAGTTCATTAAGAAAGTAAAGGAATAAAACAATGGCTACTCCATAGACAGAGCAGCCCTGAGGGCTGCTGGTTGCCCATTTTTATGGTTATTTCTTGATGATATGCTAAACAAGGGGTGGATTATTCATGCCTCCCCTTTTTAGACCATATAGGGGAACCTCCTGACGTTGCCATGACATTTGTAAACTGTCATGGCGCTGGTGGGAGTGTAGCAATGAGGACGACCAGAGGTCACTCTCATCACTATCTTAGTTTTGGTGGGTTTTAGCCAGCATCTTTACTGCAATTTGTTTTATCAGCAAGGTCTTTATGACCTGCATCTTGTGCTGACCTCCTATCTCATCCTGTGACATAGAATGTCTTAATCACAGGGAATGCAGCCCATTTTACCCAGCTCCTATTCAAGATGGAGTTGCTCTGGTTCATACGCCTCTGATATTATGACAATTTGCGGACACTTGTGGCTGTGCCATTCCTTGTGGAAGGGGGCAGAGTTAAGGGATTTTCACAGAAATGTTTTCCTTCACCTCGACTTTAGAATCTAGTACCCATATACACTCGCTGCAACTCAAGTCCCACAGGTGGGAAAATGGGGGCCCCAGGGAGTAAGTCATTTGCCCAAGGTCTCAGAGCTCATGAATGACAAAGAAGAGATTCAAGCCCGATCTATTTTACTAGGAAACCGGCTCCCTCCCCCCCCCCCCCCCCCCCCCCCCCCGCCGCCGCCCCTTTTTTTCTTCCCCTTCTCTCATTGTTTTGCCTTCCTATCCACAAGAGGGGTCAAAGGGAAATCAGCATGCCAGAAGGTAGAGTCTCATCAGACTCTGCACTACTGCAGGTGGCACTGAGAGTTAGCGGCCTGCCCCACAGTTCTGGATGAGGCCACAGGTAAATTCAGATTCCAGAGGTTTATGAAGCTGGTATTACTTAGGACTTTTCTAGCTGCAAGAGACAAAAACCTAATTCAGACTAGCTCAAACCAAAAAGGAACCATATTGACTCACATAACTAGCAAGTTGAAGGGGTGATGGCTTCAGGCGTGGTGAGGTCAAGGGGTTCAAATGGTCATCAGGACATGATCTCTCCATTTTTGGTTTCATCTTTGTTAGCTTCATTCTCTGAACAACTCTTCCTTCCATTATCCAAAGACAGCCAATGGCAGCACTGAGTGTAAAACTTGACCTTTTAGAAATCCAGCAGAAAGATTTCCTCCCTCCTAAGAGATTCATCCAACATTCCTGAAATTCACTCGATTGTCCCAGCTTGAGTCCCATGGATGTTTCCAAAAATGAATCACTATGGCCAGGGGCATATGAGATCCCATGATCAGGCCTGGGCCACCTCCTCACTTCCAGAGTTTGAGAGTAAATTGAGCCCCAAATCTTACGGAAAAAAGAGTGGGAGGAGGAAGAGTAGTATTCTGTGGCCAACCTAGAAAACCACAGAAATTCCTCCCACCTACTGCTCAGGCCTGTGGGAAACTTGTAAGACAGAGTCCCAGTCCGTGTGAGTGGCGAGTGGAGGCATCTTGGGAGGGGCCTTGCAAAGGCAAAGCCAGGCTGGCTTGGTGGAGTCCTTTCCAGAATCCATCTGCTTGTGTAAAGCCCAGCAGAGGCCACCTTCAGCCAGCCCTCCCACATACTGGTGAAAGTGTTGTTGTTGTTGTTGTTGTTGTTTGAGACAGGGTCTCACTCTGTCACCCAGATTAGAGTGCAGTGGTACAATCTTGGCTCACTGCAACCTCCACCTCCCGGGTTCAAGCGATTCTCCTGCCTCAGCCTCCCGAGTAGCTGGGATTACAGGCATATGCCACCATGCCCGGCTAATTTTTGTATTTTTGGTAGAGATGGGGCTTCACCATGTTGGTCAGGCTGGTTTTGAACTCCTGACCTCAAGTGATCCGCCCACCCCGGCCTCCCAAAGTGCTAGGATTACAGGCATGAGCTACAGAACCTGGACTTAAAGTGATTTTTAAAAAGTGCTGTGTGAGACTTCCAAATGCTACTCACAAGGAGGGAAGTGAAAGAAGGAGAGGACTGGGGAAGAAACACCTTCTATTTTTTTTTCTTTTTTTTTTCTTTTTTCTTTTTTTTTTCTAGAGACAGCATATTGCTCTATCACCCAGGCTGCAGCCTGGACCTCTTGGGCTCAAGGGATCCTCCCACCTTAGCCTCCTGTGTAGCTGGGACCACAGGCATGCACCGCCACACCCAGCTGTAGAGATGGGGTCTCTCTATGTTGCCCAGGCTGGCCTCAAACTCCTGGGCTCAAGTGATCCTCCCTCCTCGGTCTCCCAAAGTACTGGGATTACAGGGGTGAGCCACCTCACCTGTACAGCTTCTTTGGAGAATGGGCCTGGGCAGGTAAAACAGGGGCCACTCTACACCATCATGGCACAGCAAGAGCTGGGCTATGTAGGTTCAGTACACTTTGTCATTTAATTCTTGTGACAACCTCCTGTCATTATTGCTGTTTTACAGATAAGGAACTGACGCTCAGAGAGGTTCCATGTCTCAGCTAGCATTTCACTTACACCTGAGCAAAGGCTCTCTTTGTCCAGAGACAACGTGCCTTTCGGTGATAGAGCTAGGACTGGAACCCAAGTCTATCCGACTCAAAGTCCACAGCTTGTCCCCCATCGCGCAGGGACCTCTCCAGGCTAGTGAGCCCCATGAAACCTCCTCAGTGCTTCGTTCCAGTCTTTTAACTTCAAGCCCAGTCAGCGAGTTCTTTATTTCCACAAATGGTGCCATTAAACTAATGGCTTCGGGAACTATAGACTGGCCTCGGCACAGTTACACATCCCTCCACCCCCCATGTTCTGGCTTCCAAAGAAATACATGGGAAATTCCAGGAGCTGAAGCCCACTTGGACACGTTTCCGGGCCACCATTTTGCTTTGGGATGGGCAAAAAG